ACTTGGTGGCTTGCTTTCTCATTTTCCCTTTCTCTCTCTCTGTCTCTCTCTGGTGAGCATCCGTGCCCTGCAGCAAATTAAAATATTATTATAATAATAAAGTTAAATAAATATTAGAAGAAGAAGAAGAAGACAAGTGCCCTGGGCCAGTAGCAATGTGAGTGAGGGGGAGTGGCTGCAAACAAAGATGAAGCCTCACCTGCTGGCCTGTCACCTGCCACCTGCCACGTGTGCAGGGTGGGGACGGCTGGGCTATCAGGCCACAGACCTGTGTCAGTCCATGGACAGGCCCCAACAGGCTGCAGACCAGCACAAGTGTGCGGTCCAGGGGTTGGGGACCCTGCCCTAGACCCCAGTTGCTCAGCCTCAGCACACCTGCCACGTAGGGTCAGGTGATTCTGTGTTGTGGACGCCATCTGTGCACTCTGGGACAGTCAGGTCTACTCACTGCATACATGTACCATCTGCCTTCACGGTGACGGTCAAAGAGCCTCCCCACACTGGCAGTGTCCCGTTGGCAAAGTCGGCCACAGTCGGGAACCGCTGCCCCAGCGTGGGGAGCCTGCCAGGCCTGCGGCATGCAGCAAACACACCCAGGTGCTGGCAGGTTTCTTGTCCTGGGCCTTCTGGGGCCTCAGAATGTGGAGCGCATGCTCAATTTCTAAGCGGGGCAGGAAGGGCAGAGTTCCCAGTGGTGTCTGACTACAAAGGCGTTTTCAGCCAAGCACTCCATAGACCTGAGATTCCAAAGACTCCACCCTGAAAGAACCAGCCTAGGATGCCGGGGTGGGGGCTGAGGGGGTCGTAGCCGCGCACATGCTAGGTCTAGCCTCAACCCTCTGTACCCAACTCTCTGCCTTTCCCAGTCCCCTCAGAGGCCCAGCACCCAGCTCAGCAGCGGGCACAGAGGGCTCTTCATGCACTTGCTGGGTGAAAAGGGGTCTGTCAGACCCAGGCCTCCGAGTCAGCTCCTCCGAGCCCTCCTTTTCGGACAGCCCCCACCAAAGGCAGAGAGGGGACAGGGGGCTGTGGCAGATGGGGCCAGGAGAGCAGGCTTTGCAGAGACCTGGTGATTCAAAAGACAAGACCCAGCCAGCTCCACCAGGGAGGCAGACTGTGTCAATCACACCTGAATCTCCACATGCCCAAGCCTCCCTCTGTCTACACTGCTGGCCCATCCAATGCCACAGATCACTCAGGCTTAAAAAAAAAAAAATAGTTGGGTTTTCTTCGTGTCTACCTGCCCTTGAGCAGCCAAGAAATTGGGTCGTGCCTCACGTTATTCACATTGGTATTTCTATTGTTAAAACATTCATTATAGGAACAAGGCCAGCAGGTGGCATGGAGGTTAAGATGATGGATTCCTGCATGGGCAATCCTTGGTTCAAGTCCCAGACCTGGCAGACTGAAAATCATGCTGAGCACATGAGCATGCATGCCCAGAATCTCAAGAGGAGATTGGAGGAGACGTGACTGTGCTATGGCCACCCCCACTGGGGGATGGTATCTCACATTCCCTCTCTCTGGCGAGTACATGCACCCTTAAATTTTTTTTTTTTTTAATTATAAGAAAAACAATGAGAGAGAAGGCATTCCGTGACATACAGCAGCTACAAAAGCTAAGCAGGCCTGTTTGTGGGGATTTGGTCAGAGAACATAGCTCTCGTTATCTCCGTAAGAAATCAGAAACGAATGCTCCATTTCCCTCTGCCACCAGGAGATCCTTTTATCTCCCCCCTTTTTGGAGAGGTTTTTGCTATAGGGCACGTGAGCTCACCAGAAAGACAGAGAGAGAGAGACAGAGACAAAAAGTGAGACATCACCCCCCAGGGAGGTGGCCATGCTGCAATTCCTTCTCCTCCATTCTCCTTTGGCACACACACATGTGCCTGGCATGAGTTTAAGTCACCGGGTCCAGGACTCGAACCGTGGTTGACTACATGGGAGTCCAGTGACATAGCCATTACACCAACTTCTGGTCCCAGGAGATCCTTTTTTTAAAAAGATACTTTTTCATTTAAGTAATACATATACACTCACATACAGAGACTTGAAAATGTTCATAGAAAATGGAATTAAAACTATGCGTTTATTTTGCTTTACCTCTGAACTGCCAGAGGGCACGTGTACTTGCCAGAGAGAGACAGAGAAGGAGACAGAGAAGGACGAAGAGAACCCATTGGGGCTTGGTCATGCCACAATCCCTATTCCTAGTCCTCCATTTCTACATCCTGTCAGGCTTTGGAGCACACGCACACTCATACACACACACACACACACACACACACACACACACACACTCAGCATTTTTTGAGCCACTGGGGGCCGGCAACTTCCATCACCCTAAATAACGCAATTTGATTAGATGCTTCATTTCTTCCTCCCTGCTTTGCAAGGTAAGCTGTCCGCTCACGCCGCGCCCTGACTCACAAGGTCCCTTCTCCAGAGTCCTGTCGGAGCCAGGCAGTGACACAGCAGTGGCACAGCTGGACACAAATAGGAAAGGCCTGGGTTTGTGTCCTGGGACCCCCCTGAGCACACCGGGGAGCGTGTACACTCACGCCGTCCATCCGGAGTGGCTGAGACTTTGGGTGGATGGTGTCGTGGGGACCTTTTTGGGGGTGTCTGCCTCTTTCTTTGCTGCTCTGTCTCATGGAATAAATGGATAAACAGTTTTTAAAAAGTCAATATTATTATCTTTCATTCTTCCCTTGGCTACCTGTGCTGCTCTCGGGGAACTTTGGTCACGCGTGGGAAGCGGCATTTCTATAACTGTGGGCTGTGGGTCTGGTGGTGCCCTAAGATCGCGGCGGGCTGTGCCATGCAGCCGGGGAGTGTAGGAAGCTGCACCATCTGGGTCATTGCAGAGGGCATCTCCAGGTCGCTGGCACAGTGACGAAATATGCACCATTTCTCAGACATATCCCGGTCTCATGTGACACACGACCAGACTTAGACTGCCGAGCACTGGTGGTTCCAAAAGAGGCTCGCCCCTCCCCTGGCAGCAGAGCGGGGACGTGGTTGGAAGTGTCAAGAGCTGTCAAGGTGACAGATGGCTGCAGGTAGACAGAGGCCGGAGGCCTGCAGGAAAGAAAAGGCAGATGCAGCCGTGACGCCCTCCACGTCTAATCACATGGCTGTGAAACGAAGTGGCTGGGTGAAGGCTCTCAAGTAAGGGGTCAGGGAAGGCTACTCGGTGGAGGTGACATTTTAAAAAGGCCTAAACCGCAAGAAAACACAGTTCTTTCCTCAGGGGTATCCCGCAACCTGCCTCTTGGAATCTCAAACCATTGGGTTGTGGGGAAAGGCATGATGCATTTTTGCATAGATAAAAGAACGCCATGACTTTCCCATGACTCAGTAGAGATTTCCCAAGAGCCCCCGGGATAAAACTCCTGTCTACCGATATTATCAGGATGGCTACCGGGACTGCTTCCCTTGATTGCCTCTGTAGACGGGGAACTCACACCCTCCCAGGGAATCCCATTTCCTTGCCGCATGTTCTGTCCGAAAGCTGCTCTGTGAAGACCTGTGTCTCCTTAGCTTCTACTCCTTGATGCCTGCAGAGCCACGTGGAGTGGCCTGTCCCCACGACAGGTCCCCTCCCCTCAACACACAGGCAAGCCTTCTGATGCCCCATCCAGGCTCCTCGCTCAGCACCTGAGGGGCAGAGGGCATGAGCGTCGCCAGGAAGATGCAGACGTGCCGAGCAACAGGCTGACGGGTCCCCAGGCCTGGCCGCGCCCCACGTTTGCTCTGCCAGATCCCTCCAGGTTTCGGGTCCAGGCCAAGGTCTCAGCCTTTCCCATAAAGGTGGGCCTTGTGAGTATTATGGTTTGGATGATGGCTTGCCTCCCGAAGTTTCATGTTTAAGGACATGATGTGGAGGTGGGGAGGCGTGGTGGGCGGGGACTGGTTCATGGCGATTGCATGGTGGAAGCCAGAAGCTCAAGAACGAGATGCCCTGAGGAACCCTGCAAGCCTTAGCGCTCATGAGAACTTAGATCTCGCGAGAGCTGGCTGCTGAAGCCCTCTGCACCGCCCGCTGTTCTCGGTACTGGAGGCTCAGGCTTTGCCCTTTGCAGCCACCACAACTGCGAGTTTGTAGATAAACCTCAGGTGTCTTCTTTATAAAACCACCCAGGGGGCCAGCCTGTGGTGTGATGGTTAAGGAGGCTGGATGCCCCCCATGGCCGACTGCATGGTTCAAGTCCTGGACCCGGAGGTTTGAAAAACATGTTGGGCACAGGTACGTGCCCCCAATCTTAGGAGAAATGGAGAAGGGATTGCAGCATGACCAATCCCCCGCCCCCCATCTCTAGAGCATACACACCCTCTATTAAATTTTTTTCAAAATTAAGGGGCCAGCAGGTGGTATGGTAGTTAAGACGCTGGCCTCCCACGTGGCTGACCACAGATTGAGGCCCTGGCAGCTTGCTTTCTCACTTTCCCTCTCTCCCTCTCTGTCTCTGGCAAGTACACATGCCCTAAAAAAATGTAAAAAGAATATATGATAAATAAAATTAAATAAATAATTCTTTAAAAAAATTAAAATGATTCAGTTGTTGGGAAAGTCCTGATGTGTTTTTCTATGCAAAAGCGTGTCGCGACTCTCCCGATGACCCAGTAAAACATAATCATACCCAGGTTCAGGAATTTCTGTTAGCACGACAGTCCGCAAGGGAGACCCGGTATGTGGACGGCCCCTCCCCGGCTGCCCCGCAGGGTGAAGAGCAGACATACCTGTTGGAGGCAGAGAGCTCCTGTGAGGGCCAGGGCTGGCTGGAATCCCAGGAGAACTGCTGGGGCGTTCCCAGGTGGTCTCTGGTCAGAGAAAAAACAAGCGAAGTCATTTTGAGAAAGTCATGGGGCAGAACCTCAGAGTCACCGAGCAGAGCAGGATGGTCGGAGCTGGAAGTGGCTAGTCTGCCCTAGCCCCGGCCAGGCAGGAATCCACTTTGTGTTTGCCCCTTTCTTCCTGCCCCTGTGACAACAGAGCTTTTCTAGGCTGGGGCCGGAGGTGGCAGATTTCCAACTGGGGTCCTCTGAAATGTCACTCAGTGTCCCTCCTGCCAAGGCAGCCAGTTCGTTCACTCGCACTCTGTCCCAAGAGCTCTAAGTTCTAGTCCTGGACTGTAGCCGCTGCCTGGGCACTTCCCCCTGAACGCTCACTGTCATCTTAAATGCCAGAGCACAGAGGACGGAGCCCTGGCTCAGGGACGGGAGTCCTCTGCCAGCGCAGGGGGTTTCCAGACTCTTCTCACGCTACTGTTGCATGTCTTGTCTGAATGAAAACCATTGTGCCTGCCGGCCACCTGTGCCTCCTCCAACGCCCAGCCACGCAGTGCACTCAGAAAGGAAACTGATACTGCAGCTCCGTTACTGTCGCCTGTTTCAGGGCCTGTTTCAGAGCCACGAGCAGAGACTTCTTGTAAGTTACCTAGTGATCACAGGAGGACTTTCTTGGGGCCAGCAGGTAGCATGGTGATTAAGGCACTGGACTCCCACATAGTCAGCTGTGGTTCAAGTCTGGGACCCGGCTGCTTGAAAATCATGCCAGCACATGTGCATGCATGCGCAAAATCCCACGAGACGGAGAAGGGACTGCGACATGACCATTGCCCCTAGGGGGTGATCTCTCACTTTCTCTCTCTTTATTTCTCCAGTGAGTACACGTGCCCTATGGCAAAACAAAACAACAACAAAAACTTTACTTTTTTAAAAATGGGACCAGCAAGTGGCAGAGTGATCAAGGCACTGGACTCCCACATGGTTAACTGTGGTTCAAGTCCTGAACCTGGTGGCTTGAAACTCACGCCGTGAATATGCATGTGTGTGTGTGTGTGTGTGTGTGTGTGTGTGTGCGCCCAAATCCTGAGAGAAGAATGGAGGATAAGAAATCACAGAGTGGCCATCCCCCTTGGGGTGATTTCTCGCTTTCTGTCCCTCTGTCTCTCTCTGGCAGGCACATGTACCCTATAGCATATATCTCTCTTAAACATTTATTTTTAATAAAGAAAAGAAAGAAAAGAAGTCCCATCCATAATTCCACCATCAAAGTCATCACTCTCAGCCTCGAGTATCCACATGCCGATTTGTTTTCTAAGTATATGTTCACTTTAAAAGCAAACCAAAATTGGGTCTGCAGGTGATGTGGAGGCTGAGACAGCTGGATGCCATGTGGCTGACTGCGTGTTCGAGTCCTGGACAGGGCAGCCTGAAAATCATGCTGAGTATGTGTGTGTGCGTGTTCAAAATCCTGAAAGGAGAATGGAGGAGATGGGGCTGTGGTGCTGCCTCCCCTACGAGGGTGCTTTCTCACTCTCCCTTTCTGTCTCCTGTCTCTTTCCAGTAAGGGCATGTGCCCTATAACAACAACAAAAAGAAAACAAACCAGAAATAAACCAGAATCGGGGCAGGGCCTCGGTGCAGAGATAAGGAGACCTGTTTTAGGTTCATGTCCAGAGACCTCCCTGAACACGCCGAGCACACATGTGCCCGAACACACTGAGTGCACGAGTGCCCTGAATACGCTGAGTGTACGTGTGCCCTGAATACGCTGAGCGCACGCATGCCCGAACACACTGAACGCACATGTGCCCAAATACGCTGAGCGCACGCATACCCGAACACACTGAACGCACATGTGCCCTGAACACACTGAGCACACGTGTGCCCTGAACATGCTGAGCACACAAATATGCTGAGCGCATGCATGCCCAAACACACTGAGTGCATGTGTGCCCTGAACATACTGAGCGCATGTGCGCCCTGAACATGCTGAGCACATGTGTGCCCGAACACGCTGAGCGCACGTGTGCCCTGAACTTGCTGAGCGCACCTGTGCCCATAATCTAGGGCTGGCTGAAGCTAGGGGGTAAGATCAGAGTATTGAGGCCTTACTGGGGGTGCCTCACTTTCTCTCATGGAAGAAAGAAATACACTTAAAACAAAATGAAAAATGAAGCAAAATCATACCACACATTCTTTGCATGCACCAATGTTAGTGAGTATCTTTTCCAAAATCCTTACGGGGTTGGACCGCAGTGGGCGACTCTGGACAGTGGTGGTGCCTGAGCCAGGCCGCCTGGGCTCGAGTCTCAGCTCTGCCCCTGCCACCAGGATGACGGACCACGCTACTTACTCGCTCAGTGCCTCCGTTTCTCCCTCTGTAAAATGAGTTGGGTAAGAATATACACCCGGGGCGGGGGAGTTCTCCCAACGACAAATGCCCATGGCCAGGCTTCAGCATGGAGTTATTTTTAGCTAACCCAACATATGGATCTAACATTATTTAATCAAAAATTCTATTACTGAAAATTGGTTGTTTCACACATTCAGAACAAACAGAACCCTTTCAGTGACTTCGCTTCATTCGAATTGAAGGGATCTCGGTTCTTCCTCAGCTTCGTTCCTAAGTAGCTGTGCAGCTCTGAGCAAGTCCCGCCACGTCTCTGGTCCTCTAATTCTTCATCTCAAAGAAGACATGCCCTGAGCTCCCTACCCTCCACCTCTGGTTGGTGTTCCTAAAACCCACTGTTTGAGTTAAGAAACTTAAGGTCCCCGGGGCAGGATTTAATAGCAGGAACATGGTCCCCCATCTGCAGGGAGAGAAAACAGGTCTGTCTGTGAGTCGGGAAAGCATCGGGAGGTTTTGCAGAAACACTAGAGTAGCGAGGTCTCTGTGAGGGGTGACAAGGGCAGAGGTTGCCATAGGCTACTGGGGTCCCCTACCCAAATTAGGTTGTCACAGCACTTAGGAGGTCATCAGGCACACAGGGAGCACATCATGGGTGTTAAATAAAACAAGGAGGGAGCTAGAGGTCGGCACAGTGGGGATGCCACGCCCTGCTGTGCTAGATCGACGCCCAAGCACTTGGGAAGGGGTCCCTGGTTCACACTCCAGTCTCCCTGTCTACACCAAGAACAAACCTGAAAACTGGGGGTGGGTGGCAACTTGACGACCCTACTGGGCCTTATCAGAGTGCCCGTCTCTCTCTCTTTCTCTTTCTCTGTTTCTCTCTCTCTCTCTCTCTGTCATTCTCTGTCTGTCTCTCCAGTGGGAGAAATAAACAAACATTTTAAAAAACACAAAGAGAAAAGTCAGGCTGGAAATTGGCAGGTGGTGGAACTCAGGGAGGTGGGATCCCATGCTGCAGAAGCCTCCGCCAGCCTCGGGCTCCTTTCTAAGGAGGTTCCCTTTACTCTGTCTGCCGGATTGGCCCCACCAGAGGACGCTCTCCCGCCCAGGCACCCAGAGGGCCATGCCCAGACTCTGCTCCCCAGCGCCCCCTCCTGGAGCCCCGGGATGGCCCACCCACCTTGGCCAGCTCTCCTATGTCCCAGCACCTCTCCTCCCCTCTGCATCTCATCCGAGTGTCTCTCTGCCCCTGGGACCTCTTGGCTCTCCCACTTGGAGTCAGTCCTGACACCCACGCAGCCTGTGGACGGCCTCCGTGAGCCCGGCTCCCACTGGAGATCGCTCACCCATGAAAAGTCCTTTGCTGGCTCCTTCCCAACGTGGCACCCAGAGCAGAGGCCAGGCCCACAGCCCTCCCAGTGAGGTGCTCCAGGGTCCAGCCCCTGTCACACTGCCCCCACTGACCTCACGCCAGGCCCAGGTCATTTGACTTGCTGATCACCGAATATGCCTTTATGAAGCTGTTCACCCTCCTGCCCTCACCTCTTGTCCCATCAACCCTGGATTTTACAACCTTGGGCATTCATTGGGTTTCAACTAAAATGCCTCTTCTGCCATGCAGTCTTCCAAGGTTACTTTTCTTCCCTGTGATCTCTTTTCTTCCCCAAAATCTCTACAGTGTACCACCCAAATCAGCCCAGCTGCAGAGGCTCCTAGCCGAGACCCTGTCAGAGGGCACTGGCACTGTGTTCCTGGTCAAAGGGAACTGCCTTGCCCAAGGTAGTGGAGGTGGGGTGAGCTGTACATCTGCTGGCTGCTCAGTGCAGGGGTTCAAGGCTCACCTCTACCTCATATCAAACAATTCCAAAGGGTTCTCTGGGGCCTTGCTCCCATGGACCAGCAGGGGCCTTGCAGGTGACCACTGCGGTGATGTTTCCTTCCCTCCCTTGGGGTCAGCCGCGGGGCACACGCTTTGCCCGACCTCCGACACACTCGCCCATCTCAGGTTTGTCTGAGAGCCTCTCCAGGGCGTGGCATGGGGGTCCGCCTCTCAGACAGCTCTGAACCCTGACGTCTGTCTCTCCTCTGTGAGGGCGGAATCTGGGCTGGTCTGCTTGATAGACACATGGGCGGGGGGCGGGGGCAGGGGTGGACTCTGGCAGTGCAGTGGAGATGCCCACCCGAGGTACCCTCAGTGTCCCAGCAATAAGAAGAGAGCTCTGTTCCTCCCAGAAACTGGACAGGTCCCAAGAGAGCTGTCCCTTGGCACTGTGGCCGCCACCTTATTTTAAAAGGAAGATTCCCCCCAACGCAGCTGACATGCGGACTCTGTCATTCTGTCTTGGGGACAGCAAGGGGTCCTGACTCACACCTGTTGTGATCTTGCATCTCCTTGCCCGTTCACCCACCACCCACCATGTGCCTACGACCTGCAAGCCACACCCAAGCACCCGGACGCAGAGACAGGGCCTAACTCCTGTACTCATGCAGGTCAGTGGAGACGCTGCTGCCCCTCCCTATGTCTTGAGCTGCTTAGCAGTGGGGACTGCAGCAGCAGGGGCCAGGGAGCACGGGGGGCTCAGGGGTCCGCTCCTGGCTGAGATTCTGAAACTGCAGACAGATGCACTCAGAACCCTGCTCTCCATGCTGGGGCCCGGTGGGAGGCCCCTTGCCCTGTGGAAGC